CGGATCAGAAGCGGTACCACCTGCAGCGTATGCTGGTCGAGCAGCAGCGCCTATGGGTGACAGGCTTTGACGGCCGGCTACTGGATCCGGGACAGAACGTGCGCCAAATGGGACTCAAACACGGCAGGAAACACTTTCCCCCTCCTCCGCCACCACAACCACCACCTTTAGACTTCTCCCTTGTAACACCGCCACCAGCACCATCTCTTCTTTCATTTCCGGTCTCTGCACATCTTCAGGCCAAGGCCACCACTTTCCGGCAAGTCACCGCCTCTTTGTATCCAGCCTTGGCCTCTTCCATCGCTTCACCCCCTCACCCAGACACCACGAGATGGTATGATACCGCACCTCTGGACTGGGATCCCAGCAACGTCTGGCCTTTTGCCAGAGAGACTCGAGTGAATCTGGCTTCTCTAAGAATGCCGGTGGGCATCGGCGAGGACGCTGAGCAACACTAGTTTGGAGGACTGTCTACACAAGTCCCGGACAGCAGACGACAAGCCAAAAAGCCACACCAACACACGAGCCTTCTACCGGCCAGTCTTGTATCAGCAGCATCGCCAACAACACGTCCGACCGCGTAGGCCGAAGTTCCACTATTCACTTGTCCACACTCTCGTCTACATGAGGCATTGTTCTAGATCCGAATAAACTTTCACCAAATAATATGGATTGTCTGTATGAAGTGGGTCAGAATTTTGTAGAATTCTACCTCAGCACTTTGGCCAAGCTCTCCAGAATGGCCCACTTACTAGTGGCCTATCCATTCGGAGCCATCAAGTGCTTAACGGTACTATTCTGGCCTTAGATTACAGTTAGTAATTTATCTATTTTTCGTCTCAAAAGTAGGTTGTCATGACTACCAGTAGATGAGATATAAGAGCTGTATTCACCCTATATTCAACCACCAGTCCCTCATCGTCTCAAACAAAATAGAGTTAATACAACTTTTATAAGGAATTTACTTCATCTTCCAATCCTTTTGTTAGGTCTTGCGTCATCATACACAATATGAGACAAAAATGAAGCTAAAAATCATTCTTTTTCTAAATGTCGTTAAATAATAATTATGCTTACCTCTTCGTAAGTTTCGGAATACACCGCATTCAAGTGGAGCTGGGGTGAACCTCTAAAATTTCTTCGAGGCATGAATGCTTAGCCTATAAAGCCAGGCTATTGAGTAGATTTTCGAGACGTAGGGGTTAATGTGTTGAGATTACACGCTGCAATGTCATGGTTCAACTCTTGCTGCAGGTTTTGTAAAGACTTAGACAAGGTCGAAACTGCAGTTCACCCTGTATGAGAACACCTTTTGGTAAAGC